TCCCTCCGCATGTTCCAGAGGTCCACCACCAACTCCAGTAAACATGTTCATGGACGTTAGCACACCGGCTCAGGGTTAGCCAATCTTAGGTGCGGGATAGGGAGGGATTCAGTGTGTCCTTGCTGCCATAGCTACTTGTTTCAGACGTGGACGTCTGCTTAAGCCAGGGGCTTTAAACTTGGAAGGGCCTTAGAGGCCACTGCAATCGCAACCTGCTCCTTAGAGGAGACCCAAGACTTTTGTGTGCCGAGCGATCCGAAAAGAGCCGAACGGATCTTGGAGTTGAGACTTGGAGCTGCCAGTGGGTTGAGCCATAGGCCAACTACACTGGTAGCGGAGCTACCGTTTTGACCACGGAGGATCCAGGGGGTGACCACAGTCCTAGAGAGAACCCCGTTGCTCCACCTGTGCGCATGGCAGAAGCATCCGAGGGTTCCAACAATGTTCCAAATCAGTTAGCAATCCTGGTGCCATCGTTTGATCCGAGTCGTGATGATTTGCAAGTGTACACCCAAAAGGTGATGTTGCTCTTGGAGGCGTGGCCATCCAACAAGTATACCGAGTTAGCCACCCGGCTAATCTTAAACTGCAGTGGATCAGCCTTCAAGAAACTCCAGTTGCATCAATCTGAAGTGACACTGAATGAGAAGAAATCCATCCACCGGATCATCGAGTTGCTGGGAGGCCATTGGGGCCAAATTGATTTGGAGCAGAAATATGAATATGCTGAACGGGCACTCTACAAGTGCTCTCAGAAGTCTGACGAAAGTGCCGACAGTTATCTTGCCAGGGCTGACATCATGTGGACTGAGTTGAACAGCCGAAAGTTTCAGCTCAGTGACCTCCAAGCATATGTTACTCTCAGGGGGTCAGTGTTGACAGCCGAAGACAAGAAGCGTGTCTTGCTTGATTCTGATGCCGCCAGCAAAGGCGATTTGACAGTAGCCAAGGTGAGTGCTGCCATCCGCATGTTAGGTGCCAGTTTCTTTCAAGAGATGACCACAGGTCGCCGTATCTCCAAGCAGAAGACCTACGATCAGTCCACCCTGCTGACTGAGGATCTGGATGAGGCTGAATCCGACCAGCCTGACCAGCCTGTCATGTCCGCTGAGGCAGTTGAGGATGATGATACCTGGGTAGATGTCTTGGTGCAAGAAGGTGACGAAGATGCGTCACTGGTTCAAGACTTCGAGGCCGCAGCCATGGAAGTTGTACAGACAGACGAAGAGCTAGCAGCGGCCTTCACAGCATACACAGATACACGACGTAGGCTCAATGAGAAAGTTCGCAGCCGCGGATTTTGGCCAATTGGTCAGAAAGGCAAGGGCAAGGGATTCCAGAAAGGGGTCAAGGGCAAATTCAGCAAAAACCATCCGTCCTCCAGAAAGTCACTACAGCAACGCATACTCGAGTCTCGATGTAGGCTATGTGGCAAAGTAGGACACTGGAAAGCTGAATGCCCTTCCCGTGGTGACAGTTCAGCAAGTGCCAACCGGCCACATCAAGCACCAACTTCGTTTGTGCAGGTGTCCACTGGTGCTTCCTCTGATGCTGATCAAGGTTTGCCATTGGAATTCCTGAATCTGCCGATGCATGAAGCCTCCAGCATTGATGTTTCTCAGCATGATCATGTAGATGTTTTCATGATGGTTCATCAATCCCCAAGTAAGGATAGGTTGAGAAAATCCCTAAGCCACTGGAAATCCAGCCATGAACATCCTCCGGGGGTCGCCAGGAATGATGGTATGTTGCCTACCTGGCGAATGCGCTTGGTCCAGAAAGCCCGGCCTGATGACATCAAGCCTGAGACAACAGCCGTTGTCCCGTCTGAGCCTGAAGTTGCCTGTTTTGCATCACATGGTAGCCATGGAATTGTGGATTTAGGGGCAACTAAAACTGTCATAGGGGGTAATTTAGTCAAGGGTCTTTTAGAAGGTCTTGATCCCAATCTCCGAAAACAAGTGTTTAGATGTCCTTGTGAAATCACTTTCCGTTTTGGCAATCATGGTTTGTTGCGAAGCCAACAAGCGTTGGTGATCCCGATACATGGCCTGCAATTAAAGGTAGCGATCGTTCCCGGGTCCACACCCTTTTTGCTGTCAAACACCTTGCTGAGGACGTTAGGTGCCACGATAGACACTGAAAATAAGACCATGTATTCAAAACGTTTTGACCGTAAGTTTCCACTCATGTTGACCAGCAAGGGTTTGTTTCTTTTGGATTTGAATGAGCTTGCCCAACAAACACCGGGCAACTCTAAATTCTCCGAACCTGCTGAAACTCATCAGATGGTCAGCGAAGACTTGCCATGTCCGACAGTTTGCAAAAGGGATTTGCCAGCCGCACCGAATGCATCCAACCAGGAGGAAATGTTTTCCCATGGCCGTGATGGCCAGCAAGCGGATTCCGAGAACATGCATGTTGAAGAAGCCACCCGTTTTCACAACCGCAGTCCAAGGTCCAAAAGATTTCCCAAGAGTTTTCAGGTGTTAGCAAAGAGTAGCCATGTCCAGCCTTGCAGCTCGCCTTCAGCAGATCCAATTGCCTGCCAGCGAGATGCGTCCCGACATGACGCATCTGTCCCTCGACCAGCTGAGGAATCAGAAGATCACATTCGGCCGCACCCACACAGGCCGATCGTTCCAACACATGTGGGACAACGAGCAGGGGTGGATCACATGGTTTGTGCAAAGATACTCGGAATCCACCAAAGCCGAGCATCTCATTTTCCTTCGCTACGTCGAGTTGGAAGTGGAACATGCCGAGCTCACAGGAACTCAGGTGCCAGTGATCAACCTGAAAGACATCGAGAAGGTGATGACCACCACCAACTCCCAGACCGTGACCTTGCCGACGCCACGCACTCAAGTGCCCAAGGCCAAGGCCAAGAGCATGCCGATGAATCTCCCCGAAGTGAATGTTTGGGGGGAGGAAGAGGATCCAGAGTTGTTCGCAGTCATCCAATCAGAGCCGAATGCGACGACCCAATCCAGCATCACGAATCTCGAGAATCGCATCCTGGGAATCGAGAATGCCCTGGCGGCCATCATGCAGCACATCGAGAACCAGGGAAATCGTCACCCGACCGAACAGTGAGAGACTCTGAGTGTCCGAGCATGCAGGCATTTCAGACTGCAGGTGATCCAAGTGCTGACTGTTTTCACAATCATGATCCATCAACTTCCACCCAAACCAACAGTGAAAGAATCAAGTTCCAAAGACTAATTAATCAATACTCTGTTGAACTTTGTAATATTCAAGCTAACACCAATGTCAGTATGAAGAGAACCGATGTTTTTGAAGTGTTTTGTGGAAATGAAAGTCAGCTGACTAAGCAGTCACAGCAACTTGGTTTCAGGGCCGACCGTTTCAGTCGACAGCAGGGCGATCTTCAAACCACCGAAGGTCGACATTTGTTGTTCCAAAGGGTTTGCCACCAGAATCCCAAGAACATATGGTTCAGCCCCAGCTGTGGACCATGGAGTGGTTTCGCATGTCTGAACGGCAGCCGTTCCTTAGATGCCTGGGATGCATTGCAGCAAACCCGAATGCTGAGTGTAGAACAGATTGCATTAGGAGTTGTCCTGCTTAGACATCAGCGTAGTGGGGGAAACCATTTTCATTGGGAGCAACCAAGAGGGTCTCTGATGTTTAAGCTGCCGTATCTTCAGGAAGCGTTGCGCTATCTTCTTGCAGTGGATGTTGATTTGTGTGTTGCAGGGGAACTCAAAGATCCCACCAACGGAAAATTGATCAAGAAGACCTTGACCATTTTATCAACTTCCCGTAGGATGATTAATGCTTTAACTGGACTTCGGTGCCATCACCAACATGAGCATCAGACCATTGAAGGACAAATTCAAGTGAATGGAGTGAACCTGAACCGCTCCACATTCACTGAGAACTATCCCCGAAAGTTTGCACGTCGTTTGGCCATCGTCATGGGAAAAGTGCAATTTCCCCGTGAGGAGCCTTACAGGAATGAGATGTGGTCAATCCTGGCTGCTGAAGAGCATCCTGAGGCTCCTGCCTCAAAGCGTCCCCGCCGAGAAAGATACACGTCTCTCAAGCTCAGCCGCTGTCGTGAGGTGTCTCAGCTTCTATGGGGTAAACGGCAGAAGTGTATTGGTAAGACCACGCCAATAGATGCCAACCACCAATGGCAAGAAATTTTCAATAAGGTTCATCAGGTAATTCCCAGGGTTGGTAAAATGGTACTTCAAGACAAGTCCATTATTTCAGCAATACAATCTTTGATGACCGATAAGAAAATTGAGACCATTGTAGCCTGTAGGGGTGCCAGCAGAACACTAGCTCCACCGACCAATTTGGTCAAGGGAGTAGCGCCGTTTCGACGTAGCATCTTTTCTGAAAGGGGAACAGGTGAACTCAGAGCAGAGGAAGAATGGGAAAATTGGGAACAACTTGCCAAAAGGAACTTAATAAGACCATCTCATGCCACTCGAATCAACATCACGGTGTTTGCACAGAAAATCCCTGAATCCAGGACCAATGTTCCCGAAGCAGCGAGACCACCAACCGACCAAGAGGTCTCTGCAGAAAATCGAGACGCCTGCCCGGAACAGCCAGATAATTCAGAAGTTGTGCAATCCCCAGGTCAGCTTGAAACAGCTCACCTGGGACAATCTCCCACCGAAGATCGACCGGCAATGTCAACAGGTCTCACCAGTTCCCAGCAAGCTGATAGCCTGGAGCAGTCCCAAGGGTCACGTTTCAAGGCTTTGCCCAGAGATGAACAAATTGCACTCATTCGTGCTCATAAGAATCTAGGACATCCAAGCCCAGAACGCCTCAGTACTATCCTCCGCTCACAGGGATATAGGCCTGAAGTGTCCCAAGCTGCTTTGGAATTGCGATGTTCGGTATGCCAGGCCAAGGCATTACCTAAGCTGTCTCGACCTGGAGCCTTGAAGGATGATCTTGATTTCAATGACAGAATTTGCATCGATGGGTGTAATTGGACAAACAATCAAGGGAAAACCTTCCACATGTACCACATTGTGGATTGGGCCACCAATTTCCAAGTAGCCCGAATTGCACCTGACAAGTCAACACCAGCTGCCATCAATACCATCATTGATATGTGGTTATCATGGGCGGGAACTCCCGGTGAGATGTTAGTAGATGCGGGGACGGAATTTAATTCGGAAGAATTCAGTATCTTTACCCAGAGCAATAACATCAAGCTAACCTCCATCAGCCCAGAAGCACACTATCAAAATGGAAAAGCAGAACGACATGGAGCCATTCTCAAGAACATGCTATCAAAATATGATATGGAACATCCCATAACTCAGTATCAAGAACTTTCACAGGCTATCTTTTGGTGTACCCAAGCAAAGAACTCCAGTAGCCTAAAGCGGGGATATGCACCAGAGGTTTTAGTTCTTGGAAAGCACACTCGGCTTCCCGGAGCCGTATGTAGCGATGAGATGCTTCCAGCCCATTTGTTAGCAGAGTCCGAGACAGCCCATGGAGTAGCTTTCCGCCGTCAACTGGCCTATCGTGAAGCCGCACGAAAAGCCTTTGTGACTGCTGACAACGATGCAGCGCTACGGCGTGCCATGCTTCGCAGATCCCGTCCAGGGGGACAAAAATATGCCCCAGGCGAATGGGTCATGTGTTGGCGCCAAGGTAAAGGTGCACAAGAAGGATTTTGGGCGGGTCCAATGAAAATAGTTGTCCACGAAAATTCCCAAACCATATGGACCACACAAGCAAGCAAGCTGTTCAGGTGTGCACCAGAACATGTGAGGCCAGTCTCCGCCATGGAAGCGAAAAATATTCCAATCACTCACAATGAACCCTCAGTATCAATAATTGCCCAGCAAATTCCTCAAAGTAACTCCCAAGGAATCACCCGCGCCATACCACTACCAACTGAAATACCCATAATCCCACCTACTCATAATCCTCACCCAATGAACCAAGAATCTCCACCAAGCAACAATCCCTCAGAAGGTCAACCTGATGTAGAACCAGAGGTTCCCTCCAACACGTCACAACCATCAACACCGATCCAAGAGATTCACCAAGAACATCACCCCATGCCATTTTCAAGCAACAGCGAGGAGATCACTGAAGATGACCCAGCGGCCAACACACCAATACCAAATGACAATGCCGACGATGAACTCATTTGCGAGGGCCTGCACTGTGTCGACCTGGACATAGATCCATGTTTTGTTGCCGAGGAAGTAGATCTTGCGTGGAGGTGTGAAGTCTTGGTAACAGCCGATGACATACGTACGTGGCAGGAAGAAGCTGACCCGTCAGAAATGGCATTTGTTGTGTCCGCCGCCAAGAAGCAAAGATCCGAAGTAAAAATGTCAACCCTCAATGCGCAAGAGAAAGAACAATTCCAAAAGGCAAAAGAAGCCGAGGTACAAAATTGGCTCAAAACGGGAACAGTATCTAGAATCCTTAGGGATAAAGTACCTCATGAACAGATCCTCCGATGCAGATGGATCCTTACGTGGAAGCCAGTTGATGATGACAAACAGTCTACAACAGCTTCTCCCAACAAGGTCAAGGCGAAGGCGAGGTTGGTTATCTTAGGATATTTGGATCCAAAACTGGAGGAACTGCCCAGGGATTCTCCCACACTGGGTCGAAATGCATGTTGTCGCTACAGTTGATAGCTTCAATGGGATGGCAACTACAGTCATTTGATATAAAGGCAGCCTTTTTGCAAGGGAAACCCCAAACAGATCGAGTACTGGCCATCGAACCCGTGAATGAACTCATACAGGCACTACAACTCAAAACAAATGAGGTATGTAAACTCGAGAAAGGGGCCTATGGATTGGTAGATGCACCGTTTCTTTGGTATTCAGCCATTTCCGAAGAACTACTCAAGTTAGGATTTAGCCAAAGTCCTTTTGACCCATGCCAATTCCTTTTGCGGCACCCGAAGACAGGAAACCTTGAAGGTATCCTGGGCCTGCATGTCGATGACGGCATCTGTGGAGGAAGTTCATTTTTCGATGAAAAGATTCGACAACTTGAGATGAAGTATCCGTTTGGTAGCAAAAAGATCAAACAATTCACTTTCACAGGAATAGAAATGGATCAACTTTCAAATGGGAATATCACAATGAGACAAACCAAATATGTCAATGCGATCAATCCCATTAGAATAACTGCCGAGCGGAAAGTCAATGTTGACGCAAAGGTCACCGAAGAAGAACGACAGATGCTGCGAGCACTTGTAGGAAGCCTTCAATATGCTGCAGTTCACACCCGGCCAGATCTTTCAAGTCGCCTCAGCCAACTTCAATCAGCCATTAACCATGCAACCATCAGTACTTTAATTCTTGCAAATCAAACACTTCATGAAGCCAAAAAGCACAGTGACACAACAATTCAAATACAAGCCATTCCCACCAAAGACTTCAGATTTTTGGCATTCTCCGATGCCTCGTTTGCGTCTAAAGGAAATCCCAACTCCCATACTGGTAGTATAATCATGGGTACCCACCGTATGATCTCAGAAAATGTGTCATGCCCTGTGAGTCCACTAGCATGGGGCTGCAAGAAGATCCAACGCGTGGTGACAAGCACCTTGGCTGCTGAGACAGTTTCCTTGAGTTCGGTATTAGATCATTTGTCATGGCTTCGCTTATGCTGGGGATGGATGCTGGATTCAAAGGTAGAGTGGAAGAAACCTAGTCAGGCCCTCGAAAAGCTGCCTGAAACATTCTCCACAGCCACCTATAAATCCCAAAACCTACCCGAAAGTATAGCGGCTACAGACTGTAAAAGTCTCTATGATTTAGTCACAAGGACTGCAGTACCCAACTGTGCAGAATACCGTACCCAGCTTAATGCCAGGTCCATAAAGGATTTCTTAGCTGAAGGGGTAAACCTCCGATGGGTTCACTCTGGTGCTCAACTTGCAGATAGCTTAACCTAGATAATGGAAAATTCCTTCCTCAGGGAAACTCTTAGACTTGGGGCATACAAACTGCATGACGAGCTGGAGGTTCTCAAGAATCGAGCGTCATCCCAAAACCGAATAAAGTGGTTGAAAGAGTCTTGCAAGCCTGAGAAGCCTCATGAAGGCTGCAATGATGAACGCAGGTTGGCAACAAATGTTGGATTTTTGGGAGTGTAAATCCACATCATTGCAGTGTGATTGAGATACATCAGCTTTGCATCCCTCCGCATGTTCCAGAGGTCCACCACCAACTCCAGTAAACATGTTCATGGACGTTAGCACACCGGCTCAGGGTTAGCCAATCTTAGGTGCGGGATAGGGAGGGATTCAGTGTGTCCTTGCTGCCATAGCTACTTGTTTCAGACGTGGACGTCTGCTTAAGCCAGGGGCTTTAAACTTGGAAGGGCCTTAGAGGCCACTGCAATCGCAACCTGCTCCTTAGAGGAGACCCAAGACTTTTGTGTGCCGAGCGATCCGAAAAGAGCCGAACGGATCTTGGAGTTGAGACTTGGAGCTGCCAGTGGGTTGAGCCATAGGCCAACTACAGTATGTATATATATATAATACATATAAAGGTAAATGGTTTTCATCAGAAACATCACAATATGCAAGACTTGGAGTCTTTGTGGAACCTGTTTTCAAACAAGTAAATAAATAGTCTCTTGTAAACCGAACCATGGAAACCGCTAGCCGGTGCCAACCCAGGAAACTGCTCTGTCGGAAGTTTGCTGGCTTCTTTACTCAGAGAGCAGAACATTTCGTGATTCTCCGGCGAAAACCGGTAGAAGGGTACGACATCAGCTTCTTGATCACCAACACACACCTGGAGGTGGAACTTTGGGAAACACATGAAACCCTGACTTTCTCGGAGTCAATTTCCAAGCGCAACTTGCAAATTGGCGCTTTTATCATCCTCAAAGCTTGTAATATATTCTGCTTCTCCACAGTTCATGCGTGTGTAGATTGAGTGGATACTTTCCCAGATTTGGGTCTACTGGTTTCCTTTTTGAACGTGTTTGGTTTTTGGCTTGCTAGCGGCTTGCTAACGCCTTTCACACATTGACTGAATGCCTCCTTTTCCTGTATGGATCTAGCCCAGGCTGGGTTCAAGTCTTTCTTGTAATATAAGGCACATCCCAGACACAACAAGTCATGACAGTCAACACCAAGACACGCAGACAGGGCCAGGTTCAACGAATAACGCGATGTTGCTCTATACGACAGAGCATAAAAGTGTCCAGCTACAGCCACCCAGTAGCAGTTGCCTCGTTAGAGAGCTGCCGCGTAGGAGGTTTTGTGGCAGTCAACTGGTGAACTTTTCATGTTTTGTTTTGATTGTGCACTGTGAAAGTCATTTCATGCGACACGCCAGGAGATGATGAAGGATCGTATTGTCGACTTCATCATCGAATTCATGGAGGAATCTTCTTGTTTTGAGCAGTGTTTTTACAGGGATAGCTCTCGCATGCTCTCGCTGAGTCTTGCTTTTTTCCAATGCCCCCAGGACATTGACAAGGAGATCAAAGACTTGAAGATTGCTCTGAATACCCGCCTTCGGGCGGCAGCACCTTGAAGAATTCTAAGAATGAGACTCCAATCAGTACGACGAATCAGTACTGGATCATTTTCGATCAGACTTGAAGCGACCAGACTCAGTCCTTGAATCATAACTGAACCACACTTGGTTTGGATCTTTCGAAGCTTCACGTGACCTTGAAGACTTTGTCCAAAAATATACTCTTGACATGTTTTAACACTTCAATTCTCACTAAGGCAGCGGCGTACATGTCTCAATTTTCTCAGCGGGGCTAAGCCCGAATGAAGTCCTTGGAACGTGAGCAAAAACTTGAAAGTGGGAAAACGTCGAAGTTCAGCTACTGAGAGATATGTAGAGTATTGTAGAGTGGTAGTCATTGAAGTCATTTAATGGCTTGGCGCGGACAAAAGACAATGCCTTTTGTTCCGGATTGGCGGCCCAAAGTGCCAGCCATCGATTCAGTTAGCCTCAATGCTTTTTGCTGCAGAGATGTGCTTTGTCGCATTCATGTCAGAATGACATGCAAGTTAAAATAGTTAAACTATAGGTAAAATTGTTAAAATCGTTACATGTGTTTCTTCTGATTTGGTGAAGATCAGTGAAGATCCATCCCATCTCTGGCTTCCATCCCAAGGCTCTGTGGATTTGCGTGTCAAAGCTTCGAGCGTGAGTGCTCATGCGAAGAAAAAACTGCGGATTGTGCAGCAATTTGACGCGGTGATCAGAGTAGGTTTAGACAAGAGAGAACAAGACACACTAGCAACAACACAGAGGGGCCAACAGAAAGATGTAAGGACAACCACTCAAACAGTGGCTGAAGACACGGGAAGACACCAACAGGTCCTAAAGACAGTTGCCTTCCCAATCACGGTCCGAGACATTTGGGCCAAACCATGCCCAAGCTCGAAATTAAACCCTACAAAGTTCACAGTGGAGCCTGACGTGCGAACTTAGTCCTCAGAGAAATTAGGATGTCAATGGATGTCATCGGAGATACAGGTTACAAAGCGAGCGTTTTGAGCGTTTTCAGGCTAACAAATCGTAGTCATGAGCAGAGCCATGCTCCCTGTCCATAGCTTTGCCAAACGGCTGCTGCAGTGCAGCACAGTTGAATAAGGGCAATCCTTGCTGGGTGAACAAGGCAATGAAATGTCTTGCGTATCACTCGAGTAGTTTGCATCCTTCCAATCGCACTACAATGGAAGCACCAAACTTTTCGCGCCTCCATTGCCCATTGCGCCTATCCCTTCGGCAGGGAACACTAGGGTGCCCCTGAGAACAGCTATTCAATTCCACAACACTGTCACAACACCGCTGCCAACCTTCAGAGCACATGATGAACAGATATGAACAGCACATTCCCACCAGGCCCAATGTTGGAACCTCCCGGGGTAGTTTTGGATCGTTTTCCTTGGATGCTGTTCGCCCAGAAAGTTGCAGCGCAAAATCCCAAACAGACCTTGCAAACAAACACATGGAAACTTTGGTTCACGTTTCTGCCACCAGTCACAAAAGCTCGGCTGTGCATGTTAAGGCTCTACACGTCGAGCTTATTGATTACAGGGTCAAAGGTGCGTCCGATCACATTAGCACCAGAAAGCGACATGTTATCCGTGATCCCAAATGCCATGCTTTTCTCGGCTAGCGCCCTTTCGAGTTTCGAATTGCAGTCCTCCAACTACTGGAACTACTGATCAAGGCTTCCCTTGAAAGAACTGTGCCCACAAAAATATGATCTTAGCATCCTACCTCCGTCCAAGATTTGGCATAGAGGTCGGCAAAAAGGCATTTTGGTTTCAAACATGCATTGGGAGCAAGCCAAGTCACCAAAATAGATTATAAACAGATAGTCAAAAAGATCTGCAGGCTTAAGGCCAGTGTACCCTCTACGCTTTACACTTCGCACTTTACACTTTGCACTCCGCACTCTACACTTTACACTGTGCACTTTACACTCCACACTCTTCACTTTACACCCTGCACTCTACACTTTGCATTTTATTACACTCCGCACTTTACACTCGACACTCTACACTAAACTTTACACTCCACACTCTACACTCCACACTCTTTACACTTCGCACTTCACACTTTACACTCCACAATCTACACTTTACCCTTTACCCTTTACACTTGACACTTCACACTGTACATTCTTTCCACTCTTTACACTCTTTACACTCTTTTCACTCTTTACACGCTTTACACTCTTTACACTCTTTGCATTCTCTACACTCTTTACTCTTTACACTCTCTACATTCTACATTCTACACTCTAGACTTTACACACCACACTCTACACTTTACACTTCACACTTCACACTCTACACTCCACACTTTACACTTGACACTCTACACTCCAGACTCCGCACTCTGCACTGTACACACTCCACACTTTACACTTCACACTTTACACTCTCCACACTTCACACTCCACCCCATTCCATATTCCAAAGTCTACATTGGTACAGTCACAGGGGAAGAATATATTCTGTTGAAATAACTTGTTGCACAAAACTGTTTTACCTGACTGCATTCGGGTTCGGTGGTTGGTCTTGTTTTTTGAAACAGTTTTGCCGTCATCAGCATCATCAGGACCATCAGACCTACTCTCCACTTCGTATCCCCCAATTCTTCACACACTGCTCCTTCACCACACCTTCGTCCTCCCTTTAGCTTCCCAGCTAGCTTTCGTCCCTTACCCTTGGCCTCAAGTTCTTGGTGCCGCGGTGCTCCAACGATAGCTGGAAGGAAAGCTAGAACGGAAGGAAAGCTAGAACAATGAGCGGCCTACAACCCAACAACACTTTACTTCCTCCACAACCTGTGCGATCATTCAACGGGCCATTGGCAAAGAGTGACGCATGTGTCATCAAGTTCGACCGCGGAAGCCTGCAGACAGGAAAAGTCAGGAACATGGTTTGGCAATGGTGTGTAGAAAAGGTTCAGGAAGGCGTTGACACAAAAACTGTCAAAAACGCTTGATCCCGTCGATCTGGCGACACTAACCCCAACAAAATCAGACCGCAGAAACCGTTTAGGTTGTGCGTTCCATAAGGTTCGGACCATTCTCTCCAACGCACACGTGGCGTAGTATCGTTGGCTGGGTCGAGCTGCCAGGTGAAACCAAAAGAAGTTATGGCTAAGATGAGAACCAACTTGGACAATGCATGACAGTGCAATGGCATCGCACCTGGTTGAACGATGGATTAAAACAATGGGCTACATTTCGGTTTTGGTTTATCTCCTTGCATTGTTTCAATTCAGTCTTGGGAAAGACGCTTGCTTCATTGATACCAGCTGGACAATGGCAGAACAAGTTCGAGCCAGCTGACAAGAAGAACAGGACGGCTAGCTATAAAATAGGATGGCCGCGTACGAAAATTTAGAAACATGTTTTAAAATTTCCTCTATAGAAAAGGTGAACCTGTGCTTGGTATAAAACGGTTCGCCCAAGCCCTTTCAATGGAGGAAACTCCGGGGAACGCGTGATCATGCGGGATTTTATTTTATGAACAATCTGTTTGAAACCATCTATAGTGATCCCCAAAAAACCATCAAACACCTGCATAAGAGGACCTTCATGTTTAAGAGTTGCCAAGACATTTTATAGAAACAGTTTCCACAACACAATGCCACGTTAATGCTAGATTATCCGCACGCACTTTATGTTGCCTGTGCCGCCCAGTGCGGTGTACATTTTTTAAACTACGAATCCGGTACTTGTCTCTCTCCCAGACACTGGCTGTGGGTTCGCTTGTGCCCTGACTCTATTTGCTAGCTTACTTGTACCCTGAATTTTGTTTCGCTTGTATCATTCGTATTCTTGTATCACGTTATCCAAAAATCATTATCATCTTCGGACTGCCATCAATAGTAACAGTCATTTTTTGTTCAGATGGGCGCACGTTAGGTTCACGATGTGGCAAGTCAGAAAGAAAGGAAAAGAGACAAAACCGGTTAGGAGGTCCGAAGGAGTCTTAACAAAGACAAAGGGGTGATCGTGAAACGGCTTTCAGATGTGCTGCTCAAAGTAAAAATTTGCCAGTATGACAATTTTGATGCATGGTAAGTCAAAGGACGCAAAGTTAAAACCTGATACCCGAACCATTGTGGGGATGCATTTGTCATCCCAGTTCTTCCAACTCTTCCAAACCAGGGCACAACTTGACATGAGGTGATACGAACGCTGCCAGTTGGCCAGGGTTGCCAGTGATGCTGTTCCTCTTGGCGCTGTGGGGTCGTGAGCGTTGCGTTTCGTTTTGCCATGCCCCTGTCGACTGTACAATTTTCGTGGTTGAAAACTCCAAAAACCAAAGTATCATGTCAAGACGATGAAAGTGTGAAGAAAACAGGGTCCAAGGCATGGGGCAGATATGAAAAATACAAGACACCACAATTAGGGAGGCGCAGTCTTGAGGAACAAAATGGGAAAAATTGTCAGGAAACTTCGACCGTTGATGACCGTCATGGATTTGACCGGTGATCAAAGAAATTCTTCAGCTAAAAGGCTGCCCCATCAGGAACCCCAGATTGCGAAGCTTCCGCCCGTGCCAAACAGCGGGCGAAGACCGTGTCAGCCAACAAGGCTGCGGGTCAGCCAACAGGAAGGCGTGAGTCAGCCAACAGGAAGGCGTGAGTCAGCCAACAGGAAGGCGCGAGTCAGCCAACAGGAAGGCGTGAGTCAGCCAACAGGAAGGCGCGAGTCAGCCAACAGGAAGGCGTGAGTCAGCCAACGGGAAGGCGCGATTCAGCCAACGGGAAGGCGCGATTCAGCCAACCACCATGGGAATCAAAACTACCTATATAGTTTTTGGGCTGGCAGAACTTTCCAAATTTACCAGCCAAAATTTGAGGCTGGCAGCGTTGTAGTTTTTCTTGAAACCAGCCAAAATTTGAGGCAGGTACATGCAGGTACCCACCTCAAATCTTGGTGCGTTGAAGCCTTAAACCAGCTTAAATTTTAGGCGGGTGCCAGCCTCAAATCTTGGTGGGTTTTGACAGATTTTGGTGGCTATAATGGTTTGCAGTTTGTGGTTCAAGCAGCCATGCTAGTTACATCAGCTCTTCGAAGAAGGAGAACTTCCAATGCCAGTTCCTCCACTGCTTCTGTTCAAAGGGGTGCTGCCGGTTTTGTGGCTGGAGCAGCTTGGCCTGGGCAAGGCCTAGGACAAAGCCCGGCTGAGAAAGAGACAAGTGGTGACACCAACAAAATGCCATCCTTAGAGGTTGCTTCCCCAGTGGTGTGACAGAAAACGAGTGGCAAGGGTCCGCGGAAGAAATTGCAGAAAAACATTTGCAGACTTTGACGCTTTGGTACCCATTGGCAGACAGAGGGAACAAACCACAATGGAAGAAATTGTGGATGAACACTTTTTCACAACTTGGCCAAGAGGGGGTGGATACCATTCTGCAAAAGATTCAAGCCACCAGAAAATATGCCAGAAAGAAGATGAAGAACAACACCACTGGGGCTAGGATGCCTCCTTGGTTAAAAGAGCTG